AACCCTTGGGCATGGCATCCCCGTCACCAATATGCTGGGAGAGCAGCGAGCAGGAGAGGCCGCCACCGAACGAGGACATGCCCAGGCCACTGCTCGAACCAATGCCATCCAGGCACAGCGATTGCAGCCCATTCGAGTCGCCGCTGCTGAGGTGTGGCGGCGCGTGACTCACATAGGGCGCGATATGTGGCAGCGACAGCGGCGACTGCTCCATGCTGAGTATGCAGTCCGCCTTGAAGCTGTCAATGGTGAACTGATCCACGCTGAGGAACTTCATCTCATCATAGGCAGAGGAGCCATCAGCCATGTCCAGATCCAGTGAGCAGGCAGCAAACTCCAGACCCTCATGCTGATCCTGCTGTTGTTGGGAATGCTGTTGGTGGTGGTGCTGTTGATGCTGCTGAGGCGGGTGCTGATGCTGCTGCTGTTGCTCGTTGTCCAGCTGTGGCTGCGTTTGCGTCTGCTGTTGCGGCGGATATGTGGACCACTCCATGGACAAGCCACTGCCACCACGTTCCAGGCCCAAGTGATCGATATTTAGATTGAGGAAAATATTGGGCGAAAGCCGTGACGGCGACAGAGCGCCCGTGCCATAGGGCGCCTTCAGCTCATTATCCAGCGAATTGGATGACTGCGGCGGTGTGTCCGGCAGCAGTGTGCCGCCAGCAACTAAACAGGCAGAAGGCAGCGATTAATAGCTGAAGGAGAGTCTGGTATATCCAGGATTTAATGCCCTTACCCAATGCGCTGTCCAATTGACCAAAAACCGCTGCACTATCATCGTAGGCCACATCCAGATCGAGTGCTCCCTCCTTGTAGTCGCCCAGGCTGCCGCCAATCTTCTCCTGCTTGCGCCACTTGGCACGACGATTCTGGAACCACACCTGGACACGCGCCTCCGTCAGATCAATGCGCACGGCGAGCTCCTCACGGAAGAAAACATCCGGATAGTGGGTGCGCTGAAAGGCGCGCTCCAGTTCCTGCAGTTGCAACGTATTGAAGGTGGTTCTAGGGAGAGATAAATGGGAGTTAGAGGAGAGGGAATCCCCAGGGAGAATGAGTGCTGTGCTGTACCTGTATCTCCTCTGCTTGCGCTTCATTGTGCCTTTGTCCATGCGAATCCTGAGTGGGTTCGGAATGTCCGCCGTGGTGTCGCCTTCAGGCTGCCTTCTGCCTGTGCCTGCCGTGTCCGCTGGCTATCGGTGCTCGGTCTTCAAGCGACTCTTGACATAGTCGCAATGTGTGTGTTTTTTTTTCTATTTTTTTTAACGATTTTCGTTGACACTTTGAGGGCTTCCTGTTCTACCTTTTGCCACGTCTCTCGCTCCCTCTCTCTCTCGCTTTTCCGCCTCAACAAATTCCGCAGCGGAAAACTGTACAACAACAATAACAGTAGAAGCTGATGATATCGCAGCAATCCACAAAATTAAGCTCAAGAATAATCCACAAGAAACGGAAGCTGCTGGTGGTGCTGTCTGCCTGCAGCTTCTCCTCCACTGCTTACAGTTTGAAGGAAGGCGGCTGTCAAACTGTGCGTGTGCGTGTCAAACTGTAGGGCGAGCGACGTTCTTACCACGACGACGCGCATTCAACTGAGCGGGATAGCCGGAGTAGTGTCCAATGCGTGCTGCTTGATGTCGGAGGGGAAGCCCTAAAAGTGGGGGCCCATACGCTTGTGCACCCTACGCCCCACGCGGACTGTGGCACCGTCTGACCCGTGGCAACCCGTGGTAACCCGTGGTAGTGCTCACAAGAAGTCGCGCTAGCTGGACCCAGGCACCTGCATAGACACAGTGAGAGCAGTTAGACATGGAGAGAGGGTGAGCTTATAGCTGTTGATGACGACACAAGCGGAACCCATAGGCTGCGTCTAGGAGCTGCTACAGGCGGGGGAATGGAAGGGTAAGTTTAGGGAAGGAAAAGAATGGTAATTTCTTGGACCTCTTGCTCTTCTCCGTCTCAAAGGCAACCAAAAAGATCCCTCAATGGACCGCGATCCCCCAATTTGAATGAAAAATTCACAGGGAAATCCAAGCCAAAAACTAGCCGCATGTAAACCCCCCACACTCGTATTTCGTAGCCATCCCCTGACAAGTGGTGTGTGGGGTGTAAACCACCGACCTTTCTGCCTTGTGGCTGTGTACATATGTCTGGGTCAGTGGGCTTCTCGCAGCCCACTCCACACACTCCCACACGCCACACCACTTGAGGCCTTAAAGCCATTTTGGTGATTGAATGGAGGGAGCCCCAGCAGTGGTGTATAAATAGCCAAAGGATTCAACCCCATCAGCCCCGGCTTGTCCATTGTTATGGGACTGTCAACAGTTGTGTGGTCATTGTTGCGACGTCCACCAGGTGACGGGACCATAATGGATGCGCCACACACACACACACACAAAAGGTAATCCGAGAGCCGGCACCGGCGTCTTCTAGCTTCATTGTCCAGTCGGGATATAAAAGCGAAGGGATTCCTGGTTGAGAGCAGCACAAGGAGTTTAGCTCTGCACAGGCACGGATCCAGGAGGATGCTCTGGGTGAGTTCGCGAGTCCAAGACATCTCAGCAGCTTGAGGCTTGAGGGATTGTTTGTCTTTCGTCAGTTTCCCGTTTCGATAGCGGCGCTGGCGCTGCTCTGCCTGGCCAGTGGTGGCAGTCGCTATGCCGGCGACAATGCTGGAGGCTATGAGGAGCTGGAGGAGCAGGAACAAGAGCAACCGGACCGCAGCACATCCAAGATGCTCAGCGCACTGTTTGGCACGCCACGTCCCACTGAGACAGCGATGGCCATGTCCCCACATCAGATGCAGCTGCCGGCAATGTACTACAATGACTTCTATGAGGATCTGCTGGCCACGAAGCGCAACGATGTCCATTCTGCCGGCTGCGATTGCAAAGTTACGGTTTGTTGAGTTGCCCAATCCATCAGCGGATAGTCACAGTCTCTCCCCACTCTAGAACGAACTCCTCGATCTGGGCACGCTGCACTTTCCGCGCTATCTGATGAATGCCGTTTGTGAGTCGCGTCCCGCACAGGATGCCAAGTGCACACACGGCGCCAACTGCAGGCCACTGGAGTACAAGGTGAAGGTGTTGACGCAGGGCACGGTGCCGGATCGTGCTGCTTCCTGGCTGAACAAGGAGATGACTGCCGCGCAGCTGTGGCAATTCAAGACGGTCACCGTCACCGCCGGTTGCTTCTGTGCCAAGTAAAGGATTGGATTGTGTAAGATGTGAGAGAATAGTCGTCTATTAATTAAAGCACGCCAAAAAGACGCCCAAATTGTGTTTATTGCTGGTTGGAGATTCGATATGAGCAAGAGTTTTTTATAGCTAAGGCACTTGCTTGAGTTTTTGTCGAGTTTCTATATGATATAGGGGCAAAAAGTGTGTCAGAAATGGTATAAAAGTAGTCAAAAACATGTGGAATGTGTTAGAGTAAGGTTTAAAGGGACATTCTATTCGAGTTTAGCTTCGTTTGAACTTTATAAAATACTTTTGTAGGACCATGGCAATCCCGAACGTCTTCACTGCGGTTTGGAGATTTAAAAGGTACAGAGATTTGTATAGCTATGTTCCATAAATAAGACATTTTCTGATGTTATCTAAGATATGTTTCTAACTGCATCGTTTCTATATGATAAAGGGTCAGAAAGGTGTATCAGAAATGGTCTAAAAATGCTCAAATAGCAAGTGGGATGTGGTAAAAGTAAGGTTTAATGGGAATCTACCAAAAATTAGCTTCGTTTGAACTTTATGGAATACTTTAACAGTGCCAAGGCGCTGTTCCTGAATCAAAATCTTGAGCTTATTCTCACTTGTCTTGTTTATGCTGAACAAACCTTTAACCAATCCTTTGGGAGTTTTCTATAAAACGTGAAAAATATTCGATGGGGAAATCTTTTCCCTCTCGTTTTGACAAATCTACTAAATAAATGGACGGCAATCGTTTACAGTTCTACCTGTAGTAGGTTGGAACAATTGGAATGCGATTTGTATGAGTTTCCTCGTTTTTAGCTAAGAGTGTGAAATGAGGTAAGAGCCCAGGGCCAGCAGCGTCATTAGCAGTGTTAATCCTAGGGTTTGTCGTTGTACAGAAGGAGCGCCACTCTGCAAGAAAGATGTGTCAATCAAAAGCACTACTTAACTCGGACTTCGGAGAGCTCCACTTACAATCACAAAGTAGTTGCAGCGATCGCCCGGGCAGCACTCATTGCACGCCCAATCCTCGTACCAGATGTGCGTGCAGTACAGCTGCATATAGCGCTTGCGCTTGGACTGACACTGCTCCTTGGTCATGCAGCGCTTCGACACGTAATATTGCTTCAGGGCGCCCTCGGAGAAGTAGGGCTGGCTGCCCCAGCGAATCTCTGTGCCGCAGACATTCTCAAAGGGTTCGCAGGTCTTGATCGTGTTGAGGCATTTTTCCGTATTGCCCGTTTGGTTGGAGCACACATAGCACTCCAGGCCAGACACAAACCTCACTAGATATTGTTTGTGGGGATTAATAAACATTATTGAGGTGTGGCCCGTAAAATGCTAAGCACTCACCTTGCGTGCACAGATACACAGCTGCTAGCGCCAGCACGGCAATCTCCCAGGATTTCATTGTGGTCCGTTATCCAATCTGAGTCGCAGTGGCGTGGATAAAGAGCAGCCGCAGATAACAAATGCGGTAAATAAAGATGAATAATTGACAAACAAAAAAACCACTCCCCAAAGCAACAAATAAGAAGACGCGTGTGTTTTACAACCCTAGCTGTTTGCGCTGTTTGGCTGTTTCGCAACACTGCATTGGTGAATAGTGCTGGCAATGACAAAATCAACATTACGCTAAAAAATTGCTAAATGTTTATATAAAACAAATGCAACTTATGACTTGTGTAACATATTGAGCGGTTGCATTTCTCTTAAGTACGAAAAATGCATATAAGTCCGTTAAATGTCGATGGTTTTGATTCCATATTTTCATGTTTAGGCATTTCTGACTGGAAAAAGCCAAAACCTGAGTATAAATACGCTAAACGGTCATCACCAATTCAGCGTTAACCGCGCAATTATTTTCTGTTTCTCAATACTCTGTTTGCTGCTACCACCCACCCGCCTGGACAGACCGACCAGACGACTCAGACACCACACAAAACATGGCCAGAAAGGATCAGGAAGCTGTGCAGCTGCCCAGGCCAGCGCTGCCCGTGGGATTTCGCCAATTTGCCACACAGGTGGCCGGACACACATTCGAGGCGACCAATGCCGCCGCCGTCGGCCTGCTGCAGGACTCTGTCGAGGGATGTGTGCTGAAGCCACTGGGCAAGCCCGAGTGTGAAGTGCGTGAGCTCAACTTTTATGAGTCATTGGCATCAGCAGCGGCGGCGGCGGTGTCAGCGGCGGGATCTACGACCGAAGCGAAAGCAGCGCCAGGTGATAATGACCTTGCCGCCCTCAGTCGTCACGTTCCGCGATTTTACGGCCATCTGAAACTGGTTGTGAATCAGCGCGAGCACACATTTGTCCGGCTGGAAGACCTCACGAGAGGCATGCAGCAGCCGTGCGTCATGGACGTAAAGATGGGTCGCCGCACCTGGGATCCACTGTCCTCGCCGCACAAGCGCCAGGTGGAGGAGCAAAAGTATGTGATATGCAAGCAGAAGCTTGGCCTCTGCCTGCCCGGTTTCCTGGTCTACCTCCCAGCAGAGGAGCCCGGCAAGACGGTGCTCATGCGGCACGGCAAGGACTATGGCAAGAGCCTGAATGTCGCTGGCTTTCGGCAAACCATGGGCATCTTCTTCAATGCCAGCACAAGTGACTCCAAGACACGAGCCGCTGGCACTGAGCTTCTGCTGCGTGAAGTGCTGCGACAGCTGCAGGAGATCCTCGCTTGGTTCAAGCGTCAGCGTTTGCTACACTTCTATGCCAGTTCCCTGCTCATTTGCTACGACTACGCAAGACTCAGCAGCGCAGCTAAGACTCAACCAATGCCACTGCTCAATGGGCATCATCATCAAAATGCTCAGTCCTGCGCCGATGATGCCTCTGAGTGGGTGCGCGTGCGCATGATTGACTTTGCTCATGTCTATCCAGCGGAGGATGGCCAACCCGATGAGAACTACATGTTCGGACTGCAGAGTCTCATTGAGGTGGTGGAATCCATACTCTACCGATAGCAACCAGAGACCAAGACCAAGGAACAATCAATCACTCCACCACAACACTTGTATTATTGCATAAGCCAAAAGATTAGGGATTGCGGGAAGGATGCGGAGAACCTCTAAGCTACTCCAAAACAGAAAACGTAGAATAAAACCCAATTTTGTACAATTTGTGTATATATTTTGCGTGTGTCCAATGATTGATCTCGTTTTCCCCCCCCCTTAGAGCATGTAATCCATTTCGTAACGTTCGTATTGATTCTTCGGATCGTTAGTGATCCGCGGATAACCAGCAATGAGCGCATCCTGCCCGCCAATGTACAGCGAATTGTAGATCTTCCAGTAGACATCGCGCACCTTGCGTGCGGGATGGAACAGGCCTTGGAGCGTGTACTGCAGTATCTTGATGGAGCCCAGCGACACGCGCAGTCCGTCCACAGAGTCCATGAAAGCCTGCACCAGATGCGGCGACGTCTCAAAGATATTCGGCCAGACATAGTTAAGCAGATGCGTCAGCGCATCCTCGCAGCCAAAGCCATAGACGCCGAGCGACATGTGCTTGATGGCCGAGCAGGCCGTTTGACGATGCACCAGATCGCGATCCATCAGAGCATCCTCCAGCAGGGGGCACACAGCGTAGATGTAATCCTTGCCCATCTCCCCAATGTACTCGAAGAGGAAGGCCAGCGATTTGAGCACACCATTCTGCACGTTCAGCTCGGGCACTCGATACTCGTTCATGAGGGCGGGCAGGACAGTGAAGGGGCGACAGGTCTCGGCCACAATGGCAATGGCCACCGTGGTGCACACACGATTCTGTCGCTCCTGCACCTTCAGATTGTTCAGCAGCGTGGCCAGCACATCGTGCGGTCCAATGGCCTTGGCAATGTAACCAAAAGTGTTGACTGTCGCCCGCCGAATGGCCTTCTTGTGGGCCTTGAGCAGCTCCAGCAGTTCGAAGCAGATGCGCATCCATTCGCGTGCAGACACATACTCGGGTCCACGATCCGCAATGCGTCCCACGAGGTCAATGCAATTCTCCTGCACTTTTTCGTGTCGATTCTTCAGAATGGGCGTCAGGCGAGGCAGGAGATCTTTGATGGGCGGCGTCATCTTGGTCATGCCAATGACATTCACAATGGCCTTGAGTGCGCCCAGGATGCTGCCCAACACCTCGGGATACTCCTCGCCCAAATACTCGTACAGCACAACACCGAGATGTCCCATCAGCTTCTCCTCCTGGCAGGTCTTCATCACGACGGCAATTCGCGAGATGAGATCCGCTGCCTGCTGGCGCACCTTTGCGGATTTGTTGTTCAAACGCCACAGAATGGTGCCGCAGATCTGTGGCAGATATGGTTTCACGCGCTTGCCCAACTGATTGACAATTGTGCCGAAGCCATTGAGCATGACCACATCCTCTGTGGTCTGCTCCTGGAAGGCGTACAGAATGCCATCGATGAGCTGCTCCTCGAGACGCGAGTCAATGTCCGCTGCACCCAGGTTGCCCATGATCTTCTCCACCGTTTCCATCACCATTTTGCGGTACTGTTCGTTCTCATCCTTGAGATCATCCACGACGCGATTGATGATCTCGGAGGCGCCCACTTTGTTGGCTATCTCAACGGTGGTGTCCACCAGCTGGCGATAGTTGCGCCTGTCCAATGCCATGCGATGATTCCAGAAGAACTTGAAAAAGTGCGGCAGAATCTCCTCCTTGATGTACTGCGGCTCCACGCCGTCCGTGGCGCAGCATTGCTTCACCACCTTAAGGACAATCTTCTTCATCTCCTCGTCGGGCGACTGGAACTCTCGTATGAGAATCAGCATCACCTCGCGGGTGTAATAGTTGGCATACTCAGCGTCCATGAGGGGAATTAGATAGCCAATGGCTTTGAGGAAGGCAGCCAATCCCTTGCCACGATGCGTGCGTATGCCCTTCCACAGCGGCTTCAGCACCGAATCGAATGACTCAATGCCGTACGGCGTGGCAGCCTCTGCGAGTGCCGCAATGGCCAGCGCCGTGATGGTGCGCACCTTCTGCTGCTCATCCACCAGCCCGTGCTCGATGATCTCAACGAGTGCTTTGAGATGCGGCAGGATGGCGCAGCCCATAAGGATAGCAATCTGCTGCACAATCTTGATGCCAGTGTGGCGTGCCTGCCAGGATTTCTTCGACTTGCAAACGGCCTTCAGGAAAGGCAACAGCGAGGGTATGCCCAGAGCCGAAGCGACCACCGCAAAGGCACGCGCTGTTGTGTTCCTCACGTACTCGTCAATGTTGTCAATGTCCGGACGCATCGTAGAGATCATGGTGGCCAGACCGGCAGCCTTGGCCAGGTTAGAGATGATCTCGCGACCCTCAATGCGCGCATAATGATCCTCATCGATCAGCAGCGGCTCAATCACGACCAGAATCTTGTGCACATACGGACGCACCAGATCGTCCAGTTTGTAGAGCACGCGATCAATGACCTTCACCAGCAAGTGACGCTCCTGATCCTCCAGCGTAGGTGACATGAGCAGCGGCAAGATCTGATTGAAGAGCGGCCCCGCACCGAACTCACGCGCCTTGTCCGTGATCTGGCGCAGCGCAGACTTGCGCATGGGCGGCGACCCGTTCTTGATGGTCAGCAGCAGCTTCATGATCTTGCGCTCCTTCAGCTCCTCGGGCGACAGCGAATCTTCGTTGACGTCCACCAGCAGCTTGTCAAAATACTGCGCATCCTCGGGCTTCATGAAGGGCAGATTCTGTCCCTTTGGCTGATTGTCCATAAATTTGGCATTCTTATCCTCCACCTGAATGAAGAAGCCCGCCGGGGTGCCAGCGATGGGCGTGGGTGTGGCCATTAGCTTGCGGCCGGGCGTTCGCACTGGCACATAGCCCGCAGGTGGCGGCAGAATCTTGTAGCCGGGCGGGAACATCTGATCGAGCTCCTCGTCGGTGTAGGGTCTGTTCCGCTCATCGATTTCCTTCTCCCAGCGATAGGCCTGCAGCTGCTCGGGCGTCATGGCAGCCAGCGCACCTGGAGTGGGCGTGGCCATGGCCATGGCTTTGACTCCAATGGGCGTGCTGCCTCCTGGCGTAAGCATGGGTGTGGCATGTCCGGGCGTTGCATGCGGTGTCATGCTGGGCGTCATATTCGGTGTCATGGCGCTGGCATTTGTTGGCGTTATGGCGGGCGTCGCATTCGAAGGGGTTTCGTCCCATCTGGAGCGACGCTTCGAGGCCCCTGGAGTAGACTCAATGGAGATGCTCTCCCCACCAGCGCCGCTGCCCGTGCGATCTGGTTTCGGGGTCTCTGCCCAGCCACTGTGTCCCGGCGTCTCGCGCTCTGTCTTTGGCGTCTCATCCCAGCGATTGCGTCGAGCCGACTTCTCATGGCCAGGTGTCTCATGTCCCGGGGTCATAGCATGTGCCGGTGTGGCATCCCAGATACGTGTGCCCAGTCCCGGTGTGGCGCCGGGCGTCTCGCTGCCCTTGTGCCCAGGAGTCTCATCCCAGCGATGGTCTCCGGGTGTTTTCTGCAAGGGAAAAGGGAATAAAAAGTGCTCTAAAAGTTCCCTAGTGCCAGATATACTCACATCCTCCCAGGTGGGTGTTGCTGCGCTGCTTGGTGTCGCCGCCACCTTGGCTGGTATGAAGCTATCGCTGACCGTTTGATCCCAGCGGCCACGCTTCCGGGAGCTGCTATCCTTAGAGGAGTTGTCGCCGTTGGATGATGACGCTGATGAGGAATTTTTCACCAGCGTACCATCCTTGGACTTCTCCATGATGCGGCGCCGCAGCTCGGTCTCCTCGCCCTTGAGCATCTGCTCCCGCATGATGTCCGTGTAGGTGCGGGAGCCCACATCCGGCGTCTTGCCGCCATCGGCAAAGGGATCGGCACGCTCGGGTGAGATGATAATGCGACGCCGCTTCTGCCTGTACTCATCCTCGCGATCGGCAATGGTAGGTTGCCGTCGATCTGCAAAAGGATCCACATCCTCCTTGCCCTGGGTAACATCCTTCAGCACGGAAATGGGTGCCGTGTATGTGGTGCGTTTCTGTGGCACTGGAAAGCCATCGTCTTCGTCCTCATCGCCCTCGTCATTGGCGGCGATGGATGTGTTGTAGCCCTCATAGCGGCCCTTGCCCTTGGCGGCCTCCTCGTCATACAAATCGGTGTCGAAGAATCCACCGCTGTCCAACAATCCCACACCCTCCGCTGCCGCTGTGGTCTTGGCCAGCTCCGTTTTCTTCTCCTGTATAACAGTGATCTGGGCCTCGATGTCTGAAATGGGTCACAACAAATTTTGATGAAATAATTGATTTTCGTAAGGGGGTGAGGGCAGGCCAACCAAACCGGGTGCACTTTTCTGGGCCGTTTTAGGGGCTCTGCATGCCGAATTCTAGTGTTCCCATCATCTAGGACCTGCAGTATAGCTAATTAGTTGGTTTATTTGCCTCACCTTCATGTGTTCGCGGAATATTTTCCATTTTTATCAACAAATTGTAAAGACGCGTACATGCAGGGGTGAAGATTTATCGAAATTTGCCGATAGACCATAAATTAGTGATGAAAGAACAAATTTAACCCACTTAATTATTCGTTTTGTGAATTGCCCTGTGCTAAAATTGGCTAAAAGTTATCTGTCCGGGATCGAAAACCATTTTACATGATTTTGATATTCGGTTCAACAATAGTAGATAGTTAAGTCTTTCAGAACTAGAGATATAATTTTAGCCTATAGAAAAAACAATTCTCTGCAATCTAGACTATTCTTATGGACTCTTTTTATTGGATTGCTTTTAAAAGAATTTTTAAACAAAACCGGTCTCGGCAAGGGAAATTGTTTTGATAAAATTCCCTTCCACAATGAAAAAGAGCTAAAATCATATGCCGATACATCGATAGCTTTAGAATTTTGTTATCAATATTTTTTTACGCTCACCCACACTAGTCGGCGGCACGTGTTTTATTGTTGTTATTCGCATTTACGCTGCTGCTTAAAATGTTTGCTAAAAAACCGAAAATGGGCGTGGAAGTAGACCCACAAGTGGAGGCCACACCACAGACGATACAGGCACGGCTGATATCCGACACAGGCGAGGAGGCTGGACCACCCATAGACCTGCCAGCGGGCATTACGACGCAACAATTGGGACTCATCTGCAATGCGCTGCTGAAGAACGAGGAGGCGACACCGTATCTGTTCTTTGTGGGCGAGGATGAGATCAAGAAGAGCCTCGAGGACACCCTCGACCTGGGCACAGTGGACACAGAGAACGTTATTGACATTGTCTATCAGCCACAGGCCGTGTTCAAGGTTCGTCCGGTCACGCGATGCACCAGCTCCATGCCCGGCCATGCCGAGGCAGTGGTTTCGCTCAACTTCAGTCCGGATGGCAAGCATTTGGCCAGCGGCAGCGGTGACACTACAGTCCGTCTGTGGGATCTGACAACAGAGACGCCACACTTCACGTGCAGCGGCCACAAGCAGTGGGTGCTGTGCGTGGCCTGGGCACCGGATGGCAAGCGCTTGGCCAGTGCCTGCAAGGCCGGGAAAATCATCATCTGGGATCCGGAGACGGGCCAGCAGGTGGGGCGCACTCTGACAGGCCACAGAAAGCACATCAACTGCCTCAGCTGGGAGCCATTCCATCAGAATCCCGAATGCCGCAAGCTCGCATCCGCCAGCAGTGACGGCGACTGCCGCATTTGGGATGTCAAGCTGGGCTCGTGTCTGCTCAACATTGCCGGGCACACAAATGCCGTGACTGCGGTGCGCTGGGGCGGCGCTGGCCTCATCTACACCTCGTCCAAAGATCGAAGCATTAAGATGTGGCGTGCAGCCGATGGCATTTTGTGCCGCACCTTTACTGGTCATGCCCATTGGGTGAACAATATTGCACTCAGCACGGACTATGTACTGCGCACGGGACCGTTCCATCCGGTCAAGGATCGGACCAAGTCCTATCTCAGCATGACACGTAAGAAAAATTCTTTGCTGACACGTTTCTGTTCTTGTTTCTATGGAATTTCTTTCATTTCCAGCTGAGGAACTGCAGGCCTCGGCTCTGCAACGCTTCCAAGCAGTGTGTCCCGATGAAGTGGAGTCTCTGGTGTCCTGCTCGGATGACAACACGCTCTATCTGTGGCGCAACAATGGAAACAAGTGCGTGGAGCGCATGACGGGCCATCAGAATGTTGTCAACGATGTCAAGTTCTCGCCGGACGTGAAGCTCATTGCTTCGGCCTCCTTCGACAAGTCGGTGCGATTGTGGCGTGCCTCCGATGGTCAGTACGTGGCCACATTCCGCGGTCATGTGCAGGCTGTCTACACCTTAGCCTGGTCTGCGGACTCGCGTCTAATATGCTCCGGCAGCAAGGATTCCACACTGAAAGGTAGGGCAGTCCTAAGAGTGGGTTTGTCTTTGGATTTTCATGTTTTCTTTCCTTGCAGTTTGGAGCATACAATCGAAAAAGCTGGCACAGGAGCTGCCTGGACATGCGGATGAGGTATTTGGCGTGGACTGGGCGCCCGATGGCTCACGCGTGGCCTCTGGCGGCAAGGACAAAGTGATCAAGCTGTAAGTTTGGGAAGAAAAATCTTTGATAACATTCAACAAATTCTTTTTAATTGCAACTTGCAGATGGGCCTACTAGGAGCAGCCGCCTCTGTTGTACATTGTAAGAAACTACTTGGTTGGAGAGAAGTAAAATAAAGCTAAGATCCTGAGTAATTTTTCTCCTCTAAATGCTCTGCTGTTGCAGCGTCTTCAGTGTCTGCTTGTAGCGATCTTCAAAGGCGTGCGCATTGCTAAAGTAAGTTGCTGGCACTGCCGATTCCGATTGCAGCGCACGCTCCGCCGCCACAAAACCCGCGGCAACGCACTCGTCCAGAATGCGGCCCTGCAGCAGCGCAGTAATGAAGCCAGCACAAAAGCTATCGCCAGCGCCCGAAACATTCACGATGTGGGGCACTATGGGTGCGGCATAGAAGCGTGTGATGTGTGGCGGCACCTGGGACGTTGTGGCATCGAGCAGGCAGCTCGCATTCGTGGCGGCATCCGAGCGAAAGCTGAGCAGCACGCCATGATCTCCCAGCGTGGCAATGATGCAGTTGAAACGAGATTCAATCTTTTGCAGCAGTTGCTTGGTCTGCTGCAGCAGCTGCACACGATCCACCTTGGTGTCGGGCTGCCAGTCGACCGTTTGTCCCGTGATTGCCTCCACAATGGTCTTCAGTTCGTGCAGATTTGGCTTGATCAAGCGAATGTGCTGAGTGAGATCTGCTGATAGATGGAAGGGCTTGCCGGCAATGAACATATCCGTGGGCTCAAAGAACACAGGCAGCTGATACTTCTGCGCCTGCCGCAACGTACACTCCATGGCCTGCTCCGATATGTTGCTGTCCATAATGATCAGCGGTGCATCGCGAAAGAGATGCTGGTGCGCTTGCAGCGTCTCTGGGGTGATGGAGCACTGATGGATCTCCATGTTGCCCAGAATCAGTTTGCAGTCGCCGAACTTGTCAAAGATCAGCGAGCACAGGGACGTCGCCTGACTCTCATCCTGAATCATGCCACGCTGCAGCGTCTTGGGCATCAGTTGGAGCAGCGTTTGGCCCATCTGGTCCTTGCCCACAGCGGATATCAGATTCACATCGCCGTAGAGCTTGTAGATGCCTTCGGCTATGTTGCGTCCAACGCCGCCAGCCGCTTGCTTGGCCACCGCCGAGTACGTGGCTCCATCCAGTTTCATGTCCCGCTTCTGATCATCCACCGTGAAGGAGAGATCCAGTATGGAGGCGCCCACAACTAGGGGTTTCTTGAGGTGTTCCTTGCCCTCGCTCTGCTTTCTGGCTGGACCGCCCGCCAAGGCTGCTGCAATTTGTGCCGCCACTTTGGCGTTGTTCTTGATTAGCGCAATGTTTGCCTGCAGACTGCTGCCTTGGGTGATCTTTGCTATGGCTGCCAGCAGGAACGGAGTCACTTCCTTGCCCGAGACGCCCTGAGACAGCGCTTGAACGACAGCTGCCTTGATGGCAGCCTCCATTTGGCCCTTGTCCGCCGCAAATTCCTCGGGTATGGGCACTCCGATGAGCACGCCCGACGTCAGCTTGAGTTCACGCCAGGAACGCAGCAGATCGGCGGCCTCCTTGGGTGTGGCCAGATCGTAGGCAGCCCTGCAGCCACTGTCGCGGGTGTAAAAGTCCGGAAAGACACCGCCGGGACTGTCGTAGCTGGCCACGCACACGCCCTGAGTTTCCAGGTACTCGAGGGTACGCGGAATGTCCAGTATGGACTTGACGCCGCTGCAGACCACAGCCACCGGCGTGCGTCCCAGTTCGGTGAGATCCGCTGAGACATCCATGGAGACGTGGCCCTCACGATGGACGCCGCCAATGCCACCGGTGGCAAACACCTTGATGCCCACACGATGAGCGACAATCATTGTGGCAGCCACCGTTGTGCCGCCGCTTTGTCCCTTGGCCACAACATACGGCAAGTCGCGGCGCGAGCACTTGATAACCTCATTCCGCGGTTTCTTGGCAAGTGCCGTGAGTTCCTCCTTGGTCAGGCCCACCCTGATGCAGCCGTCAATAATGCCGATAGTCGCGGGAATGGCTCCGTGTTGGCGCACCTGTTCCTCCACCTGCAGCGCCGTTGTCACGTTCTCTGGCATTGGCATCCCATGTGTTATGATCGTCGATTCCAGTGCCACCACTGGCTGCTCATGCCGCATGGCATACTGTATCTCTGGATGCACCAAAATGTGCTGGTAATGCTTGGTACGAACGAATTTGACGGCGGGGCGAACATATCTTCGTAAAAACATTGCAAAACAAACAAATAAAATACACCTGACCCGGAAAACAAAAGCAACAACCGGCACTTAGTGTGACCATGTGCTACAATTGCGGTGTGTTCCAGTATTTTCTGCTGAAAAGTAACTTTATAATGGGGTACATTTGTGGTTTGTGGCTGTCGTCACTATATTTCGAACTTGCGCGAATGTCTTAAAAAAGTTAGAGCTTAAAATGGATTTCCACGATTGCACCTTTGATATAAAGTTCTTTGGTTTTACTGCTGAGCAGATGACAACTATGCGTAAGTACCAATTTATATGCAAGTTATCTCTCAGGCCATTCCTTTTCTCTCCACAAAAACAGGCGAGCGTGAGGTGAAGAATATGATTGGCCAGGCTGTCGAAAACATCATTAAAAAGATAGAAACGCCGGCCACTTCGAAACTGCTGGGCGCCCAAAAGGACGAAGTGATACGTCGCATAAAGAATTCCACCATGAAAAACATGAAACCCGTTCGGGAGCTGGACAAAAAATTCCTTCGCGTTCCGCCGCATGTCCTGCTAGGGCAGGACTTTCACTTGGAGCAACAATACACTCCTCTAGATGAGGAGAAAAAGAACGCACAGCTGAAGGAGCTAGAGCTGCGGTTTCGTGAGGTAAGAATTGCAATCTCTAATTTGAATGCCTAAAATCAATGCCAAATAATTTCAGAAATTAGTCACGCTGGCCAAAAAAGAAGCGGAGGCCAATCAATATGAATCGGTGGCCAATATTTTGCAGCAGGAGACGATTGAGCACAAGAAGATCTATGAAGGTGTTCCTTCTATAAATGGCTACAAGCTGACTTAATTTGCAACTCGAGTGACCACCATTCCGAAGTGACCTTGATATTTGATGTCCCATATCCTTGTAATATAACATACACCCTAGATTGAACTTATAAATTGTAAAAAACAATAATAGGAATTTAAATTAAAGAATTTTTATGAAGACTGTAGAGAGTTCCCCGGCGCGTGCATTGGTCACCTCCTGGGTTAGGCACACCCTGATGCAGCCATCAACAATGCCGATGGTCGCGGGGATGGCTCCGGTTGGGTCGTTGCCACGAATTTTTCGGCGGGGAGAATATATCTTGGTAAAAACATTGCAGAACAAACCAAAAAGTACATCTGACGTGAAGTCTAACGAAAACTGCCGAGTAGTGTGACCATGTGCTTCAATTAAGGTGTTATCTAGTAGTTTCTGTGAAAATCACTTTTCCTATAGGGTATTTTTTAGCTTCGTGAATCTCGTCACACTATTACGAATATGCGCGAATGTCTTTGAAAAAATTAATTATTTTTTATTTGTTTCTCAAATTATAATTGAATGCCAAGCCAAATTAATTAAAATGCGTTTCCACGATAGCATCTACGATCTAAAGTTCTTCAACTACACTGCTGAGCAGATATCGGCTGAACGTAAGTACCAATTTATATGCTAGTCGTGTTTGGCGTCACTCAGGCCGTTCCTTTTCCCTTCATAAAAACAGGCGAGCGTCTGGTGCAGAACATGGTTGGCAAAGCTATTGAAAATGCCATTCAAAAGATAGAAACACCGGCCACCTCTATACTGCTCGGCGCCCAAAAGGACGAAGTGGTACGCCTCGTGGAGGAGTCCGCCCTGAAGAACATGAAATCCCTACGGGAGCTGGACAAAAAATACTTTCGTGTTCCGCCGCATGTGCTGCTGGTGCCGGACTTTCACTTGGAGCATCAATACACTGCTCTAGATGAGGAGAAAAAGAACGCGCAGCTGAAGCAGCTAAAGGTGCTCTTTCGCGAGGTAAGAATTGGAATCTCTAATTTGAATGCCTAAAATCAATGCCAAATGATTTTAGAACCTAATCACGCTGGCCAAGCTAGAGGCAGAGGCTAAACACTACGAATCGGTGGTCAAAATTGTGCAGCAGGAGACGAATATGCAAAAGAAGGTCTATGAGGATTGTGCCTCCATAAATGCCTACAAGCTGGCCAAATTCGCCACTCGAGTGGCCACCATTCCGAATTGATTCTGAAATTTGATATACCATTTTCCCTGTAATTTCTCTTTTACATTCACACTTGATTGTATGAATTTTAAATAACAACCATAGGTATAGAAATAGATGAATGTTTTGCCACAGGGAGAATTGTCATGAGTTGTGGCTTTCATTTTGTACAGACTTTAATTTTTGCGCAACTATGCAAGAGGCAAGCGGCATGTGGCAGTGCTCCGCTGCGTCAGTCTGAGAGTTCGTTCTGTTCTGTTGCTGCTGTCGCTGCAAGTGACAGAAGTTCGCCAGCTATTTTCGACACACAATCATTCGGGAGAGTGTTCCCATCCCATCCCATGCACACAGTTCAACAGCCGCTTTGGCAGCCACACGCCGAGCCATTTGCCGCATAAACTAAAACATCGGCCCACCGGCACCAGCCCCAGCCCCAGCCCCGTTCCCGCTCTGTGTGTGTGTCGGAGGAAATGTTGAAGCTATTTATACATTTTGGGGGTACATTTTTCTTGTTTTCCTCTTCGCGAAAAAAACAAAATATGCAAAAGAAAAGACGAGACCTGCAAATCTTATGGCGCGATATTAATAAAAGCAGCGCTGCCGATGGTTGCTGCTGCTGCTTCGTGGTGGATCTTCTGACTGTTGCCTGGCTGCTGCCTGCATTCGTGATTTTGCCCCGTGGAGTTGCACATTGTCGCTGTATCTGTGGTCCCAAACGAGGTACGTTCTACGCCATTTTATGTAATATATCTAAATACATTTAACCCTTTACGTTTAGTTTATTATCGCCATGAATGTGGAGAAATTGAAGCGCCTGCAGTCCCAGGTGCGCATCGGTGGCAAGGGCACACCGAGGCGCAAGAAGAAGGTCATGCACCAGACGGCCGCAACCGATGACAAGAAGCTGCAGAGCTCGCTGAAGAAGCTCTCGGTGAGCACCATACCCGGCATCGAGGAGGTCAACATCATCAAGGACGATCTGACCGTGATTCACTTCAATAATCCCAAGGCCCAGGCCTCACTCTCGGCCAACACGTTCGCCGTCACCGGCCATGGCGAGACGAAGAAGGTTGTCGAAATGCTGCCAGATATTCTGCCACAACTCGGCCAGGAGACGGTCGTCCAATTGCGCATGTATGCCAATGCCATGTCGAATAATGCCAAGCCAGAGGCAGCAGCCACAGGTGAAGGCAAACCCAACACCGCTGAAGATGATGATGATGTGCCCTTGCTGGTGGAAGACTTTGATGAGGTGGCCAAGCTAGAAGCCAACAAGCAGGAGCAGCAGCAGCAGCAGGGCAAGAAGCCAGCACAGGAGAACACACCAAAGGACAAGCAGGAGGGCAAGCCGCAGCAGCAGCAGCCCAAGAAGGAGGATCGTAAGAAGCAAACGGAACAGAAACAACAGAAACCAGCGGAGGAAGCCAAGCCCAAGGAAAAGCAAGACAACAAGAAGGCAGCAGGCAAGGGACAGGCACAGACGCAGGCGCAGGCCCAAGCACAGGCGCATCCACAGGATAAAGATGTAAAGAAAAACGAGCCACAGACCAACAAGGAGAAACCCAACAAGAACAAAGCGGAGGCTAAGCAACAGACAGCCGCTGCACCACCGAAGGATAAGCCACAGTCTGTGGAGGTCGCAGCCGCTAAGCAGGAGCCCCCGAAGCCAGTGGTGGAGCAGAAAATTGAGCAACCAAAGCCAATTGAACAGAAGATTGAGCAGCCCAAGCAGAAGGAGCAAAAGGTAGAGCAGCCCAAGCAGCAGGAACCAAAGAGCGAGCAGCCCAAGCCAACAGAGCAAAAGGTGGAGCCGCCCAAGCCAACAGAGCAGAAAGTAGAAGCTAAGCCGGCAGCCGCAGCTCCACCATCAACGGCTCCTACAGGGGCATGGGGCAAGTCACAGTCACCAACCTCTGGTCAAACTTTGGCACAGATTGTGGCCGCTGAGCCGCCAAAGCAAACGTCTCCAGCAGTCGAAGCCGCTCCAAAGATCGAAGAGAAGAAAGAGCCACAAAAGAGCGAGCCAGCACCCGCTCCCTTGCAGCAGGCGGTGCCCGTGCCAGTGCCAGTCAAAGTGGAGCCAATTGTAGCTGCTCCGCCTGTCGCAACTTTGGACACCGATAAGAAACCAGAGACCAAGCAGCCCAGTCCTCAGAAGAGCGCACCCAAGACGCCAGAAAGTGCAGCAAAGAGTGCACCCGAGCAAAAGCAGAAGCAGGCCAGTCCACCAAAGAGCGCAGCAGAGAAGCAGCCCAAGCAGGCAGCACAGCCACAGAAGCAAAAGACGCCTCCGCCAGCAAAACAAGTGACGCCACCCGCAGAAGCCAAGTCTGCCACGGATGTGGTCAAGGCCAAGGCTGCCGAGCCACTGGCAGCTGCACCAGCAGCCCCCGCCATTGTACAACCCGTAGTGGCAGTCGAGAAAAAACCAGAGCTACCAAAGGATGCACCAAAGGCAGCCTCGCCAAAGCAAAAGACACCACCACCAACCAAGCAAGTGACACCACCCGCTGAGCAGAAGGCCCCAGCTGCACAAGCTGCGGTGGCTGTACCTGCACCAACTCCTGCAGCTGCCACTCCTGCAGCTCCTATAGCTCCTGCACCAGCTCCGGTTGCTGTTCCTGTAGCTGTTCCTGCAGCAGCTCCTGCCGTGGCTCCTCCAACGCCAGAGGCTCCCTCGCCTATGGTGCCAGCTACTCCACCATCGACTCCCTCTTCAGCTCCAGCATCGGCAGCAGCTGTTACTCCTCCATCGCCGGCCTCCACAGTCACGCCACCGTCGCCTGTTGCAGCTACGGCCCCACCATCGCCGGTTGCAGCTACTCCGCCACAGAAACAGCAAGGAGCAGCAGCAGCATCAGCCAATGGCAAGAAGCAGGAAGCCGCCCAAAAGGCAAAACAACAACCAGCCAAGGCTGGCCAGCCGCAGGCACAGATTCAAGGACAGCAATCTCAAGGCCAGGCACAGTGTCAGAAGCAGGCAGCAAACAACAAACCACAGCAACAACAGCAACAGCAGCAGCAAAAGCAGGCAGCAGCCAAGCCCACTGTGGCGCCCAAACCAGCACAGACCCCCGGAAAGCCAGCTGCACAGAAAACTGCCAGCCCGCCCAACCAACAGCAGCAGGGCAAAGGTAACAAAGCGTCGCCTCCCAAGCAGGCAGCACCGAATGCAGCCCAGCAACAGAAACCAAACAACAATGCGCCCGCAAAGGCTGCACCGTCGCCAAAGGCCTCCGCCTCTCAGAAAGCTGCCACCCCGAAGGCTGGTACCCCGTCCGCACCAGCTGCAGCTGCTCCCGCACCTGGTGGCTCCAATTAGTGCATCATTCTCGCTTTTTTTCAATCGGCTCCCTTGCATTTTGAATTTACCGAGCATTTTTCAGACACGATTAGAACAGTTATCAGTTATCGATATACCAAGAACAACAGCTAATGCATCCCTGGTACTAACAATTTCATTTATTTTTGTGCAATTACATTTTCAATAAAAACAATTACAATCACAAACAACAAGCAAGGAAGCCACGACCTAGTTTGGCTTGGCATGGCTCGAGGTCGAGGGCTTCTCCTCCACCGCCGCCTCCTTCTGAGGATTGAGCTTCAACATGGCGTAGTTCAAAGCCGTGGCGAAGCCCAGCCAGGCCACATACGGGACAAAGAGCAATCCAGCGACTTTGTTGACACGGTAGAAGAGTATGCCACAAGCGCTGGCAGTGGTCGTCAGAGCGATGATATCAATGAGCCCCTGAAGCATGAAAAGGATTAGCGATAAAACAACCTCAAAATTATAATTGTGATGACACTTACGCCCTTGATGTTGTGCTGGCCAAAGAAGATCGGCGTCCAGGCCCAGTTCAGGGCCAACTGTGTGCCATAGGCAATTAGAGGCAGGCGCGCCTCCTCGCCACCAAATCCGCCGCCATCGCGCCACACCAGGTAGGAGCCATAGCCCATGCCAGCGTACAACGATGTCCACATTGGGGCAAACACCCAGTTGGGTGGTTTAAACGACGGAAAGTTCAGGTTTGCATACCAATTCTTGAGATTCCTCCGGGTTAGCTGGCCATTAACAATTCCACCCAGATTCGGCAGGATGACGGCTCCAGCGATTTTAAGAATCTTCCCAGCGACTGCTTCTTGATTATCGGCCATATCCAAAGAGTTTACGAAATGCGAATGATACGCAGTAGCGGCACCAAAAGCGCTTGGAGTTGTTTGCCGGTGATTTCATTTGCACACTTGTATGTGCATGTCTATGTATGGATGATGTGCGTGCGTATGTACGTGATGAAACTATTTAGAGCTGCCATTACTTGTTACCCAGCAAACAAAAGCATTGCAAACGACAAAACGCTCGCCCGTCAGAGACTTTTAAAACTTAAATGGTGAAATTATTTTATGCTATGTAGCGTTATTTAGGTACATATACGAATCAGTTTTTGTTTTGCAAATGTTTTTTTTCTCCGTTTTCTCTTCCGCGCATATTTTACTGCTGAAAACTTCGTTGGCGAGCTTAGTGCTACACTCCAGCAAGTGTTCTTTGGTTTTCTGGGTAACTGTATGTACACAATTGCAATAGTGTGAACATATGCTTGTGGTGTCAGCAGAGAACATTCAAAAGCAGGTAAGGCCCGTTTATTATCTCGCTCTCTGCGCTCATTGCGCCCTACCTTCCATTAAAGTCACAAAAGGTAGCAGATAAGGCACCGCTCATTTCCTCACTCTCTTTGACATTGCGAATGCAAGCTAAGCAACGCCTTACCTTCTATTTAATATAACTTACGCTGAATAGTCACATGCATAGAAGGGGCTTACCATTAGCAAACAAATTTCATCGATGTTCAACTAAATAAATAAATCCAGTTATCTTGCCCGTCTATATTTGTTTTGTTGGTGCTTTTGCCAGCCAGCAGCTCCGTCCTTTCCAGGGCTGGGAAATAACCGTTAGCTTCGAATACTCAAATGCAACTATGGCAACCGTTGCCAGCGGCGCCACTTTTCGTTTTGTTGTGGTTTTGCCTGCCGCATTTGAGAGGAAAATTCCGAGATGACGCTGTACTTTGACACTAAAATAGAGTTTCTCGACTCGGATGCAGTGAGTACCATCAGCAGTTGGCATCCAAATGAGCCGCTCTTTGCTGTAGCCTCCTTCAGCCAGGAACGAGGAGGTTCCGTCACCATATTTGCGGACACCGTAAGTTGTTATCCGCTTTAATTATTCATACTCTGATTTGAGATTTCTTTGCAGGGTGAACCGCAAAGAGATGTAACCTATCCAGTGCATGCCACATCGCAGGCCACAGCCTTGTGCTGGCACCCGGAGAAGGCGCTGCTGGCCAGTGGCTGGGAGCACGGCGACATACACGTTTGGTTTGCCGGTCATCGGGAGTTTGCCAGCGTCAATGCACCCCACAAGGCGGCCATTGTGTTGTTGCAATTCAGCGAGCAGGGCGGCCGCATGGTAACGGCGGATGCCATGGGTTTAGTCACCGGCTGGCGCTGCGATGGACAGTATCAGTTTCTCACCATGTTCTCGCACGATCTGCGTGAAGTGCTGCTGTTGGTCTGCTTCCGACGCACCGTCGAGAGCGAGGTGCGTGAGGAGATGGCAAATCTAGCCAAGGCGGCGGTGGCAGGCGATGAGAACGCCTTGGACACGCTCACCAACTGGCGGCCACGCACCGCTGCACGTGGATTGACTCATTCAGGTGTGCGGGACAATCATTGCTTCTATGCCTGCACCCAGGGAGGCGTGGTGTACTACATCAATCAGGGCGGCGCCTGCGTCGAGGTGATGAAGTGCGGATCACTGCCGCCCATAGTCCAGATGCTTTGGCATCCCAAAAAGTTAGCAAAATCCAAAGAAAATTTGTCCTTAAGCTAAAATTGTTTGCTCTTTTAGGGATGCAGTCATTTGCCTGATGGAGGACTTGACTGTGGTGCTGTTCTTGGTGGAGTCCACGGGCATTCTGACGGAACTGGATCGCGTTAAGATGAGCGGACGTGGCGGCGGCAGGCAGGGCGGCATAGCCTGGTCGGGCAATAGTTTGGCCATTATCACAGGTGGAGTCATCATTTTGCATCTTCAATTGTTTCCTTAAATAATATCTTCATTCCTTTCCAGGCGATCTCTTTGTGCGCATTTGGGACATTGAGCGCAGCGACAATTATCTCCTAAGAATGGATTTGCCCAGCTCTCGCCATTTGAATTCGACACTCTCCAGTGTGGCCAATGTCACAAACACCAACACCTCCTCGTCCAACAATTTCTACAGCCAGGACAGCAGCGAGAGCAGCAGCATATTGCCACGCAAGCCCATAAAGTACGGCCAGCTGAGCAGCGGCGAGATCTTCACCTGCCTGTCGTACAGCGGCAGCTATCAGACTTTGTGCGCAGGCACGTCCCTGGGCAATCTGTACACCTGGAAGCGCAGTGGCAGTCGCTTGGTGACTGCGCCCGAGGATGTTTGGCAGCTTACGAACATTTCTTCAGTGCGTGGCGCTGTCAGGACCTGCGAGTGGGGTTTCAATGAGCTGTCGAAACCCTGCATGCTGGTCAATTGTCTCTCGAATGTTTACATGCTGAAGGAGCAGCCGCTGCTGGCGTTCCACACCCGCGAGCTGTGGGCGGTGCAGCGTTCGGCTAAGTCGGTGCAGCTGACGCACTGCAGCGGCCGACAGACGAGTGTTCAGTCCGAGTTTGCAGTGACAGCGTTGGCTCTGAACGAGCTGAGTCTGGTAATGAGCAATGGAAGGAGTATCTCCTCGTACAGCCTACAGAAGGTGGACAAGAGCCTTGATGAGTTCGACGAGGTGCTGGAGGCAGTGGCTGTAGACGCAGGCGAACCTCCCGCCTCCACGGCCTCACCGCCATCGCTGATCGTGAAGCTGCTGCAAACTTTTGCCGCCGAGTGCTTGCTGCTGTGCCTGCAGAACCAGAACATCTTCTGCCTGTCCAGCAGCGACATTATGGTCTACTCCGTGGGTGGAGTTGTACTGCACCGCATCCAGTCCAGCGACATTGAAGGAAAGATCATTGGCATGGACCTGAGTGGCTGCTACTTGTCCATCTTCACCATGAATGGTTATGTCAAAGCGTACGACGTGTCGCGACACGATCCGAAGCTGCTGTTTTCCAGCAAGTCGGGCCACGACATCTTCGATGACTTTGGGGAGTTCATTCTGGTGAAGTGCAACAGTCAGGGCAGCCACCTGGCCATGGTCATAGCCAACAGCAGCTTCATGCCACGCTCTGCGCTCTTCTGCTGGGACTTTGAGCGCAACAATCTCTTCGAGTACGATCTGCAGGAGGAGACCAGTCTGCCGGTGAGACTCTTCTGGGATACTGAGGAGCCGCGACTGCTGGCCATGGAGGTGAAATCGATGATGCAAAAGCCACAGCCAACAGCCAAGAACTCCAATGCCCATCAGCCGCCCATGCACTTTGTTCAATCGAAGATTATGCTGATGTTCTACTCCGATCAGAGTCAGGGTTCATCGGGTCTGAATCTGCTCGAGTCGCAGCCAATGGCCGCTGGCTGCCAGCTGCTGAACCTCTGCGTGCCCAGCGTCGTTCGCTTGAAGATCAATGTGGTGGAAGAGCAGCCGCTGCAGGACTTTGCCGATCTGCGGAATTGCGATGCAGTCACCAGGAAGCTGGTCCTCAACTTCAGTCTACACGTGGCGGAGGGGAATATGGATCTGGCCTACCGCAGCGTTCGCTCCATTCAGTCGAAAGTAATTTGGACAAATCTGGCCAAGATGTGTGTCCACACGAATCGCCTGGATGTGGCCAAGGTGTGCATGGGACACCTGGAGCAGGCACGTTCCGTACGCGCCCTGCGTCAGGCCATGGAGGATGATGATCTCGAAACGGAGGCCAAGGTGGCGGTGCTGGCCATCGAACTGGGCATGATTGAGGAGGCCAAGGATCTGTACAGACGCTGCAAGCGTTTCGATTTGCTGAACAAACTCCTACAGGCCACTGGGCGGCTGGATGAGGCGCTGCAAATAGCCGAAACGGAGGATCGCATACACCTGAAGCACACTTACTACCAGAAGGCGCAGGCACTGCGCGAACAGGGCGACATCAAGGGCGCCTTGGAGTACTTTGAGAAGACGCAGAACCCCTCGCAGAATATAACCCAACTGTTGATTGAGAATCCGGGGGCCATGAAGCGCTACATTCAGACCACCAGCGATCCGAAGCTGTTGCGCTGGTGGGGCCAGTACATTGAGAGCTCCGGGGACATGGACGCCGCTTTGGCTGTCTATCACAAGGCAGAGGATTGGTTCTCACAGGTTCAGCCTAGCTCATTCCAATTCCTAATGAACAACTCCCTTAATCTCTGATATATTTCCAGGTGAAAATCCTCTGCTATTTGGGCAAGATCTCCAAGGCGGATGCTATAGCCAGGCAGTCGGGTGATCGCGCTGCCTGCTACCATCTGGCGCGCCATTACGAGAACGTGGGCAAGTTCCAGGAGGCCATTATGTTCTTCACGCGCGCCCAGACCTTCAGCAATGCCATACGCATCTGCAAGGATAACGACTTTCAGGAGGAACTTTGGACTGTGGCCAGCTCTTCGCGGCAGCGGGACAAGGCCATTGCTGCAGCTTATTTTGAGGAGTGCGGCAACTTCAAGCATGCCGTGGAGCTCTACCATAGAGCAGGCATGCTGCACAAGGCACTGGAGATGGCCTTCGAGTCGCAGCAGCCGGAAATCCTGGAGATCATTGCCACGGAGCTCAGTCCGGACTCAGATGCGGAGCTAATCAATCGCTGTGCTGATTTCTTCTGCAGCATCGAGCAGCACCAGAAGGCGGTGCATCTGCTGGCCAAAACGAATCACCTGGTGCGAGCTGTAGGCATCTGCACGGAGAAGGGTGTGCCCGTGACGGAGGAACTGGCGGAGATGCTCACCCCCGACAAGGGTGTCTTTGAGGAGGCCACACGCACCTCCATCCTCGTGCAGCTGGGAGAGCTGCTCCAACAGCAGGGCGACTACCACAGCGCCACGAAGAAATTCACCCAAGCAGGGGACAAGATGCGTGCCATGAAGAGTCTCTTGAAGTCGGGCAACACCGACAAGATTGTGTTCTTCGCGAACATGTCACGGCAGCGAGAGGTTTACATTATGGCAGCCAACTATCTGCAGGCCCTGGACTGGCAGGGCGATGCCTCCATCCTAAAGCACATTGTCAGCTTCTACACCAAGGGGCAGGCGTTCGATTCGCTGGCCAATTTCTATGCCATTTGCGCCTCGATGGAGATTGAGGAGTATCAGGATTATGGCAAGGCACTGACTGCCATGCAGGAAGCCTCCAAGTGCTTGGAGAAACTAAGTCACGCTCAGCATGCGTATAATAATCTGCAGCGCACGGTGTCGGATGTCAAGCAGATCCTGGAGATCCAGCAAGCGCTTCGGGATGGCGACAATCAGTCGGTAATTGGCGCCTGTCGCAGCATGTTGAGTGGGTTATGCTTTGGAATTATCTTTTTAGACTTTCTATTAATAATTCCTCCTTTTACAGTCAAGCCTGAGCTGCCTCCCATTCGTCACTCCCACATCCTAGCCATGCTGGTGCGTGCTCTCGTCTATGCCAAGCAATATCCGGAGGCGGGACGCGCTCTCAAAGAGCTGGCCGTAAAGGACAACTCGTGGAGCGCTTCGGGTCTGCTGGATCGTGCACTCGTCCAGAAGGTGGCCAAGGAATGCGATTTGGACTTTAATTTGATCTGGAACTCTGGTCGTCAAGTGACGACAGCCACCACAGCCACCAGCATGACGACAACAACGACCACAACCAGTGACGACGATGATGACGCTGATGATGAGGAGATAAGAGAGGAACTGCATTAGGAATCGCAACCGCCCCCGCAACTAAATCCGTCCAAGGGTCGCCTCCAGCGAACCTACGAGTAAATTAATGGGGCAGCAATGAGCAATCCATACGATTTCGCAATATTGCTCACAGCAACAGCGTTCCCTTCCCTCCATTAGATGTTTTTATGAATGAACTTAACGAGGGTCGAGTCTACGTAGTAAAAGCTCTCCACCACACACAAACGTAGGCTTCAACGCGTCACTATAAAGTAAATATAAACAAAACACACTAGGAACGAGGCGACTAGGGGAATACCTGGTACAGAAAACAAATTAAAAAGCTGGAAATACTGGGAAATGTAATTAAAAGAGAGTTACGTTGACTGGCTGGCAATTATAATGAAAGTATTATTCAATCGTTATGAAACCGCGACACACTCAATAGCTACAATCAAAATACCAAAGAACTAAAATTTCCTATCTTTAAAAGTGTACCAAGTCACCAAAGATTCTTATCATTAAAAGTGTGACTAACGCAAACGTTTTCTGCGAACATTACCTTTCCCAATTTGAAAATATCTTCAGCGAAATTGATAAAAAATTTGAACTGATTATGGGTTTTTTTTCGAACCAAATTGATTAAATATTGGAGCTGCTTATAAGGTCTGAGTCATCGAATGTTTACTGTAGGGCACTTGAGAGCTATCTGAGATGTGGTTTAGGTATACTGAAATTTGGTTAAAGAGCATTGTACGACAAGTTATTGGAAGCAAATCTGAATCAATTTCGATTTCATTTCAGGCAATTTTTTGGTAAGTAAAAATAAGTAAATGCTGAGGTGTGTTTTTTTGGAAGAGGTTTTCATTGATGTACCGTAAATTCTCTATAAAAGTTCATGTAATCTTTTACTGCTTACCCCCTAGATATACCCCTTGAAACACTCGCATTAAAAGGGTAAGAAATATCAACAGCGATACTATATGATTGTTTGTATCGCTGGCGCCATAGCGCCAAAGAGATAGGTCGGACCGAGCTCCAAGAGTGAGTGAGTGAGAGGAGAAATTGGATGTGGCATGAATCACTTACGCCGAAAGCGTCGTCCTCTGCTATGAAATCAGAAGCGATTCCCGGAATCTCGAACGGAATTCAAATAATCCGAATAATAGGGCAATTGTCCATCAGCAGCGTCGGTGTTCTTTGCTCCAGAAAATGAAGGGGGGTCGGTTCGGGTGGGTCGCCTAATCCCCGATTCCCATGAATGAACGACCTGTCGCCCCACTAGCCATCGATGGCCAAAGAGCGGCAAACATCGAAGCCAAATTATGAGCAGAGAGAGAGAGAGAGTAATAGGCAGCGGCACGACTCATGCCAGTTTTCCCAGAAAAATGACGCGACAAACACACAGAGAGAGAGACCGAGAGACACACAGAAAGAAAGAGCGAGCGAGCGATCGCCAAACGATGAATGAATGAATGAATTTTCAGACGACCTTACCCCCCTCTCTGCCCGCAACGGATCCCATTACCCTGGGGAACTCCATCGACCACCGACATTCGTTTGCTTACACCGCCTGGCCGTATGACTCATCCACCCCCGGCGCTGGCCCACCGATCTTTTCACTACGTCATGCTTAAGGTTGTTATTTGCCGACGAGCCAAAGCGAGCGCCAGATAAGGCGAGAGAGAGAGAGAGCGCAGCGGCGTTTCGTGAGCGCAAGTGTCGCAAAAGCTTCGCCCACCCCATGTCGAATTTAGTGCGCAAACCTGTAAACGCTCCTCGCGCTTGCTACGAACGCTGCCAATTGCTCACTGGGATCTTGGCCAGAGCATGAATGGCAGAGAGCGAGCGGCAAAAAAGCTTTTTGATGGCTGGCTCGACTTCGTCATGGCTTTATCACCGGCCAGTTGGTCCGATCATTAACTCGTCATACCCCAATCGGTTCGGTCGCCTTTGTGGAACAAACTCGATCGATCGCTTTCGGTCCGTGCGGTTCAAAGATCATCGTATCCAGCTCGATAGCTGCAATAACGGTTATTAAAATTTTCCAAACGGAAAAATACGCTGCGACAGGCTAAAAGATTTCCGCGCGGCATTCAACGGCACGTGGGAAGGTGATTCCGTGCGTCGGGCAGCAGGTGAAATACTCGTACCGGTGATTCACCGACCTACCCATTACGGACTACAATCCTAAATCCGTTTCGCTTGCCAACCGGTTGGAGCAACAATAAATACCCGAGAGTGTGTGTTCAGTGCAGTTCCAGGAATTCCCCTCTCAACCCATAATGTCGCTCGAATGCAAAGTGCACAGCTGATAATTGTGGTCCTAAACCATTAATGGCCCTTGTGCAGAGCCACCTCACACAGACCAGACACGTTGCGAGGCCACTGATTGGGCTCAGCCTTTATGCCATGCACCAGGATGTCCCACAGAAGAGCATCGGAGCTGCAACCGAAACGAAACTGGAAAAGTCGTCGACGGAGAAGGCGACGCTGCAGGTGGATAATGCAGGAGGAGCAGGAGGAAGCCATCCGCAGAGACGACGCCGTCGACGGCGCCACAGCAGCAGTTCGACAAGCGACACCAACACCTCCTCGGACTCGGATGTCACAACGGACTCCGATTCGTATACATCCTCATCCAGCAGCAGCACCAGCAGCAGTAAAAGCAGCCATCGACTGGCACCTCGGGCTGTACCTCTGCCTGAACCTCACACATCCCCGCCTCTACCTCAACCTCAAGCCTCACCCATCCGCAGTGAAAGCAGAAAAGCCTCCATCGAATCGAGTGACTCATGCACACCCGTCGAAGTGCCCGTGGATCCGCATGCCTGGTCCACCGAGGACATTGCCAGTTGGGTGAAGTGGCTGACGCGCAAGTTCAAGATCGATCCGGAGCCGGACATTGGACGCTTTCCCAAGAACGGGCAGGAGCTGTGCGATCTGAGTCGCGCTGACTTTTGGGTATGTGCGGGCTCTCGGCGAGGTGGCACGCTGCTGGCCAAACACTTCGCGCTCAGCCTGTACCATGCCACGGGCCGCGAGACGAGTCCCATGCTCAACGAGAGCGAGCCAAGTGAGTAACTATATCTAATCTGGGAGCACATAAATCTGAGGTGTCCAGAGATTGAGCGAGCATCGAGCGAGCTGCTTGGTAATTGGGTTCACGTCCTATTCCCAGTGGTGCGATTGTGAGGGCTGCTCCATGTGTGTGTCTGAGTGTGCGTGAATGAGAATCCTTTGTGGTCAAGGCATCAATTGAATCCTTTTTGACCTCTGCTGCTAAATGGCAACTGATTAAGATGCCAACTCGCTGATAGAGGCGTTACTTATGTGCCTCATTGATTGTTTTTCTCCGCCCCTGCGACCATCTCTTATGGCTCTGATAAAGCGGCAAAAGTTCGCCTCGAAAAAGGCTGGCAGTGGGGAAGTGCTGGCATAATGAACAACCTTTTAATTACCTGAAGCTGCCGCTGCTGCTGGCTTTTGCGCTCTCCAACTTTTCTTTTGGAACTTCATAAACGTAAATCGCTGCGAAAATCCCCGCGCGACAGCCGCAGCAAAGTATGCAACACTTTTTCAGTTATTAACTGTTCAAGGAGCAGCAGGGGGAGGGGGAGGAGTGTGGATGGTTGGAGGCTTAGCAGGCGGTCGCGTCAAGTGATGAACTTAATAATAAACGATGTAAATATGATAATTTCTCGCAGGATGTGGCATCTAATAATAAAATCAAAATAATCCTACGGCAGCGACACACAAAAAGTCACCAAGTCATGTCACTCATGAAAGTCGCAATGTGGCACAGGGGCATGGGGCAGCGGCAGCTGCAGGGGAGTCTCACTGACAACAGCACTGCGGGTGGTCAGCTCCTGGCTGCCTTTGGGGCACACAGGAAAATATTCATTCGTTCGCATCCTTCCTGTGGCAACGGAAAAGCCTCCGCCTGATTTGGGTCTGGCATATGCTGCTGATCCACAAGAGCCAGCGGAGAGCCAGCTAGAGCGAGAGACATAGAGGTGAAGCGAAAGAGAAGGCGGCGTCGATTTAATTGATTTGTTTTTTATGCCAAACGGGGATTTAGCGTCGCCGTGGCGCAGATTACAGTTGCAATGTCTGAGTCTTTGCCAGAATGATTTCGCCTTGCCCTGCCCTGGCAGAGCCCCTCGTTTTTATACACTTTGTGGCCACAGGATATTATGACTTTTGCGGGAAGGCAAGAATTAATGATATATTTTCATCTGTCTGTTTGTTTCCGCAGGGATTTATCACTTATTTGGAACCATGAAGAGCGTCTAACTATAGCCTCTATTTGATGTGCCACAGGAAATAAGTCTATCCTAGATCACTGCCAGAGAAAACATCGATCCAAATACCACAACTATAGTGCCATTAGCTTATTCAGAGCTCATTCAAATTCCATCAAAATCGAAAACCTCCAAGGCTCTTTCATACAAACCTTTCCTCAGTAAGGGCATCAATCGCTTTGCTATCCTGCCACCACTCTGCTTCCATTGTATTGTGTGTTTCTGTGTGTGTTTACCCTGTGGGGTGTTGCTGGGTGCCGCGGGGTTGAGTGGCTGCACGTGGCCTCTGCGACTTTGTGACTTTTTCTCTGCCAACGAATGCCGAAGCAGCATTTACCACCAGCTGCGCAGGTGAAAAGCAGTCGACATGCGAGCAGTAGCTGCTGCTTCGACGAAGATGCTACAGGGCATGCCATGCCCTGGCAGCATCAGTCAAGTGATAAGAAGTCAACGTTTCAGTTGCCCAAAGGCGTTTGCCCCAAACAGTTCCCGTAGAAGAAGAACGCTGATAAAAAATAAAATAAATAAATTCCCCAATTTTGGGTGCAGACGCGGAAAAACCTTTTTGTGTGGAATTTCCAGACAAACTTTTCTTGTGGCAAAAATTCTGATAAGTCCGAAAAGTTAATGTGAATCCGCGAGTACCCACAATCAAGCGAAAGAGTCACCATGAGCGTCAGCGTGGATGTGGGCGTCATGTGGCGCCTCTCGGAGGATTTCAACCGTCGCTTTGGTCTTCGCATGCAACCAGCGCCGACGGCGGCGCATCATTCGCATCATGCGGCAGCGGCGGCAGTGCACCACTACCATCATCACCATCAACACCATCTCGAACACACACACGGTTCGATCATGTTTAATGGTGAGAAAAATGTTGCCAAAAATTCATTGGAATTTCCGCTGTGCGAAATGAATGAAAGATTCCTCTGCTCAATGGCGGCGTCTGCGGCGGCAACCACTTGATCGCTGAGGCATTTCCGGTGAGCGGTGCCTCTGTGGTGCTGCCTAGAAATATAATTATGAATGGTTGGATGGGGCTGGCTGTTGTTGTTGCTGTTGTCTATGTGCGGGCACTGCTTGCTCTTGGACTGCTTTGCCGTGGCTTGTCTGTGAGTCATCCTGTCATCTGTTGGTTATGGCACTTTCGTGACTTTTGTAGCGGGCCACTTTGAAGGGATTTCCCCGTATAGAACAGCAATGGTTATGGGCATGGGAATATCCCCATAGTCCCCGAGTCCAGGATTTATGCCCTACCCTACCCCTGGTGGAATGAGTTTCTGTGAATCCGCGACAGGGCTTGTGGCATTTCATTTCATTACAATTTCATTCCGTTGTTTGGCACTCTTGCCACGTCCCCAACGACAGAGACACAGAGACACATTCAATGACCAGAAAATCTTGTTTGGCTGGCTGGGGATTTCTCTCGCGAATCTCACTCTCTCTCTCTCTCTCTCTCTCTCTCTTGTTGTGTATCTGCTGGCTGATTCGCGTGTCTTCGTCTCTCTTTCAGATCCGTATCAACTGCTGAACGCTGCCTCGCACCGATTGGTCGCTCAGGGCTCTGGCGGGCAGATACAATTGTGGCAATTTCTGCTGGAGCTGCTCGCTGATTCGTCGAATGTCGCGTGCATCAGCTGGGAGGGCCAATCGGGCGAATTCCGGCTCATTGACCCGGACGAGGTGGCCAAACGTTGGGGCGAACGCAAGGCCAAGCCGAATATGAACTACGATAAGCTAAGTCGTGCCCTGAGGTGAGTTCCCAGTATAACAATCAGCCAAACCCTCTATATAGCTCCTATCTCCCCTTTCCCAAAGGTACTACTACGACAAGAACATCATGACCAAGGTGCACGGCAAGCGTTACGCCTACAAGTTCGACTTTCATGGCCTGATGGCCGCCTGCCAGGCCCAAGCGCAAGGCGGCGATCCGGCTGCCAATATGTTAGGTTCCTACAATCATCATCCCGGCGGTGGAATGCCCCTCAGCCGTCACCCACCGCTGCATCATCCTCATTCAACGCAGCATGCCCATCATCATCATTCGCATCCACACAGCCACGGACATGTGCATCCCGGGCAGCCGCACTTTCTGCATCACCACACATCGCCCGCCTCAACCAGCTCCAGTTTGGGCTTCCCCTCACCCCCTACGGTGTCGTCACAGCCCTCGCCCAGCAATGGACCAGCAGCCACAGCGACAACGGCGACGTTTTCGGCACCATTCCATGGCGGGACAGCAGCTGAACAGGCAGCCAGAACAGGGACAGGCACGGGGACGACCTATGACCAGGGCAACCCATCCACAAATGCATTTAACTGAAGATGGTGACGACAGCAACCCCAATTTGTTTTTGTGGGGTTGTAAACGGTCGACCCACAGGGCAGGGGGGTGGCGAGGAAGATGCGCAAGGACCACCCACTGCGCAGAGTGCTGTAAGGGAGAGAGCGAGAAGCAGCGGACCGGACTGGACCGTAAAAAGGTACGACACGAGTAATTTCCGCATAATTCCAGATACTTAATCGGTTAATTGAGGAATTGTGATAGCAACGGAGCATCGCAGAGCAATAAGAAAGAGAGAGGAGAAGCCAATTTGTTACTTCATCTGTTATCCACTCGCTTCTGGCAGCAAAAAACCCATTAAGAGGTCTCATCATTATATAATTCTAAGTTCACTAAGCGCACAGAGGATACATACATATAGTAAATACACAAAAAATACATAGATATAGATACAGATACATAGTTATAGAGATACAATTACATACAGGTGGGGGGGTTACACATCCTCCTACACACGACACACAATGGCCAGTATGAGGAAGGTCAGGCTAAAGGCCAAAAATGAGACACGATCCACTGCCGTGGCCAGCAGCGACCATTCGAATTGTATGGCCCGGGATGTGGGAACCTCCGTGGGATTAATGTCCAGCGTTTCGGATTGATCATAATCGTCATTTTCATACAATTGCTCATCCATCTCCTTGCTCTTGTCCTTCTGCTGTTCGGCCTCGGAGCGAAAGTGCGAGAGCAGCAGCCAGGAGCCAAGTTTGCCATGCAGTAGCTTCTTGAGGCAGTCTGGAACGCGCCGCTTATGCTTGGCCGTGGACAAGTAGAGCACAGCCACCTCCACAATGGTGGAGATGCTCAGCAGCAGCAGAGTGGCGCTATAAAAGACGACTACAAAATGGAGAGCAAACTGAGGCTTAATGCACATGGAGGAACACACAGAAACTCACCCACAAGCGGCGTCTTGTTGGCCAGCACCGGTAGCAGCTGCGCAAAATACATGAGAAACGAAGCAACCACAATCATGAGCAATCCATTGATCATAATCTTCTCGCCGCCCATGTGCGGTGGCAGCCAGAAGGCGGACAGCGCGAGTGTGACAAAGCAGGAGGCTGGCGTGTAAATGATGGCCGTGTACATGTTGGAGCGTCGCTGCACCGTCAGCGTGTACTCCAAATAGCTGTAGTAATCCTGAGGCACAAATTGCGTTGACCCTTTGACAATCTGCCACTCGGTGGACTGCATTGCACCGTCGTAGTCCAGGCCCTTGCCCGACTTGTCGTAGTCCGCATTGATGTGGCTAACGCCCCAGGAGCCAATCTTTAGCTTGCACGTCTGCTCGTCGTACGGCCAGTTGATCATGTTTAGGTTGCAGTAGGCCGTGTACACGGCAGGTGGCACCCACAGGAACTGTCCCTCGTGGGTGAGTATTGCCTGAGTGTCCACCAGGAAGCTTTCATCCTCGCCAGCCGCATTGAAGAGCTTAATCTGTGGTGTCCAGATCTCGCTGGCATGCAAGTGGATGGCCGTAATGTTCTCATACTCCTGCGGCTGCCACGTGCGAAGCTCGTCCATCCAACGCTGCAAAAAGGGAAAACAGAGATCAAGATGGCAATGGGTTAATGCAAGGAAAACGTACAATATTCAGCCAGCAGTGTGTCGTCATCTTGCCATTCAACTCGTCAATATCAATAAAGTTAATGGTCAGCGCCATGCTGACAGTCGCGGGTTCGCCCTTGTCCAGCGGCTGCAAATGTTTGTCGTAGTTGAGGAACAGACTCGCGTGCAGACGATCCAGGGCGTTGACATTGGCATTGCCATCGCTGCTGCTGCTCCTGCTGGCGTTAATGGCAGTCGCATCTGCTACAACAGGAATTTGGGAGTTAGCTGTTTGTATAAGAAAAAACTTTTGTGACACTTACAAGTGGCGCCTGGCACGGAAACAGCAAGCAGCAGCAACAAAAATACTCCCAGCAGCCCACGACCGGAAATCAGAGTTTTTATCTTTGGGGCCGTCGTCATTGTTGTTTCCAGTTAGAATTTTTTGAAGTAGTTAATGCATTCGCTTCCGAGTCTGAATTGGAACTGAGCTCAGAGCTCTGAGTTTTGCTCACATGGCCGTTGCTCTGATAAGTCGGAATGCGCCCAAATACAAACCGAGGCTAAGCAGGGAGCAGGCAGAGAGCGGATAAGCGATAGCAGCCTCGCAAACTACGAGTATGTGGGCATTGTACATAATCTGTTGCCTGATTGAATGGTTTTGGCGGTCAGCAGCAATTTTTCATTCACTTTTGCAGCAGATAAAATAAACGTAGAACGCTTCCACTCCATAAAACAGTTATGTTTATGTGATTCTCCTTTTGCCTAAATTGCATATTGAAGATTTTAGTAGCTGCAATGTAGTAAACTTAATACCAAAATGATTGTAATGTTGAAACAGTAATGCAATTCGGCTGCATTATTATTGTTTTCGTAATCAACGCCTATAAGTTCAGCTTATCGCACAAAAATACCGATAACTTGTTTCCCCACCAACCCTACATAATACCACTAACCAAATAGTATAGGTTAGTGACTATACTATATGGTTAGTGATAATACTTTGTAATATATAAGGTCATAAGGTGTACATTCCAATAAAAAGGAGTATTTATAATACGCCGAACTAAAGCCAAAAGTCTATGCAAGATAGTAATATCAAATATAACATGAAAATCGACAAGTATGATTTAAGATTACAGTATATTTACGAAAAAAAAATTGCAATTAGAAGGTATATTTTGGTATATTTTTGAGGGTCTGATGGTATATCTTATCGATAATTCCGCGGTCACACGTCCCTAATATTGACGTGTACACTGGCTGCGTGTCAATTTCAACCCCGTTCGAATAAATAAAAAATAGATACCATGGCGGACGAAGTGATTGACACTGTGAAGGATACCATCAAAGGCATCTTTGAGAATGTGAATGTGAAAAATGAAACGGCGCCCAGTGAGAAGAAACCGTCCAGCCCCGAAGGCATTGCGGTGGCGTACGGCAGCTTGGTGATTATGGCCATGTTGCCCATTATTTTCGGCTCCATACGTTCCGTGAAACTGCACAAGCTGAAAAAGGTAGGTCATCTGTTGCCCTAATTATGCATTCAGCTCACTGGTTTTGTTTGGTTTCACTTCCATTTCGATTCGACGCAGTCTACGGGGGAGAAAGCCGACACGATGACAAAGAAAGACGCCATGTACTTCCCACTGATTGCCTCGGCCACCCTCTTCGGCCTGTATCTGTTCTTCAAGATATTCCAGAAGGTGCACATCAACTTCTTGCTCACCGGCTACTTTTTCGTGCTGGGCGTGATTGCTCTGGCGCACCTACTCAGCCCCGTGATGAACTCGCTGATGCCCGCGGCCGTGCCAAAGGTGCCCTTCCACATACTGTTCACGAGGGGCGAGGGCAAGCACAAGGAGGATATCATTAACTATAAGTTTTCCACCCACGACATTGTGTGCCTGGTCATCTCATCGGTCATTGGTGTGTGGTATCTGCTGAAGAAGCACTGGATAGCCAACAACCTGTTCGGCCTCGCCTTCGCCATCAACGGCGTGGAGATGCTCCATTTGAATAACTTTGTGACTGGCGTCATCCTGCTGAGCGGTCTCTTCTTCTACGACATCTTCTGGGTGTTTGGCACCAATGTCATGGTCACTGTGGCTAAGAGCTTCGAGGCACCCATCAAGCTAGTCTTCCCCCAGGATCTCATAGACAATGGCCTGAATGCCTCGAACTTTGCCATGCTGGGTCTTGGCGACATTGTCATTCCGGGCATCTTCATTGCCCTGCTCCTGCGTTTCGATGACAGTAAGAAGAGGAAGACGCGCATCTACTTCTACTCCACACTGGCGGCATATTTCCTGGGTCTCTTGGCCACGATCTTTGTGATGCATGTCTTCAAGCATGCCCAACCGGCGTTGCTCTATCTGGTGCCCGCCTGCATGGGCACCCCTCTGCTGGTGGCTCTCATCCGTGGCGAGCTGAAGGTGCTCTTTGCGTGAGTTCTATTGAGTATACAAATTATTGATCCCCACTAATGGCATATCGTTCGTACAGCTATGAAGATCATCCCGAGGAGAAGCCCGAAAAGAAGGAAAAGAAGGACAAGGAGGAGGGCAGCAGTAGCGGCAGCAGCAGCAGCAAAAAGAAGGAATCTAAGAAGGCAAAGTAAATGCCACCAAGAGCAGCACGACAACCACAACCCGTTCCATCAAACTAAATGTCTTCTTCAATTTGGCAAGCCGTGTAATATTTTGTTATAGCTTCCACTTCTCTGATCCGATCCGTACTTCCTGCGACATTTCTATAAAAGACGATTTTGCTATAAATATTGATTTAGTAATGTTCCTTCGCAAGGCACAACCACTTTATTAAGTTCGTTTAGGTTTACGAAATATGTAGAGAATTTAACTTACCTTTTTTCAAACTTTTTCTACCAGAATCAAACGTTAATGTAGAATTTTTTATTTATGTACCTTTTGTAAAGGAACACGAACAAATAAGAATGAACACTTGAAATATATATTTAAATTTTTGTGACCCAATGAATACATTTTCGTCTTGTTATTTTGTTCAAATGTGTCTTAACTAAATATGATTTAATAAATAACATTAGTTGGTTTTCAAAATTAGCGCCAAACGTAAACTTACTAACACTGAAATGTACACATTTTGCAAGGGGCTGCCACACTGGTAAAAAAAATGAGAGTACAAAATTTTCACAAGTCGGAAAATAGTATGCTTGGAGTTGAGCGCCTCACCGTAATAATAAAGAGAATGTCAAAATCGAACAATAATATATAACGTTAGCCCGTTTTCGACCAGCGGAATATTTCAGATTACTCAGGAATTTTGTCGAACTTGAAAGTGTTGTGCGCACAGCTTGGGTAAAATATATAGTAGCCTTTTTTATTTTGTAAATAAAAAGGAAGAATATACAGCGAGAAATTAAAAACATTATTATTTTCAGCGGCTAACGTCAACAGTGTTCAACAGCTTACATATTGAAACTTTAAATAGTGCGGGGCTAAGTGGGTTAGTGCAGATTTGTCCTTGGTATATTTACGGTGTATTTCGGTATATTTGCAACGGTCCGACAGTCACACTGGATCCGAGCGTCGGAGAAAAAAAATTGCGCTAGAAATTTGCAAAGAAAAATAGTTTGCC